GGACACATTCCCTGGGGGCCTGGCATGTGCGGGAGATTAGGTTCCTGGAAAAGGCAGGCCTGAGCAGTGGGTCATCCTTAACTAGAAACAGAAATAGGAAAGAAACAGGCCAATAGGAGTATTTCATTTCTAAATTCAAGAGCATTTCGCTTAAAAACCCAAGGAAAAGGGCAACGGAACCTGCCGTTGCCTCCCACTGCCCCTGAAGGGTCCGCTAAGGGCAGGAGCGGGGGTCGGCGTCTGCGTGCTCGGAGTTGGGCTTAGTCGTCCTGCGCTTTTGACGTTTGGGCATTAGGGCATCCACCGCAAGGTCCAAGCGCAGCTGCCTTCGTGGACAATTCTCTTCACTCCCGAAGCGGATCACGGAAGCCACGGCAGAGATGGAAAAGCAGGGAAATCTGTGGCCAGATCCCTGCCAGTCACCGAGGCTGGCAGGGTCACGTGCAGCCGCGGTTCTAAACGACGAGGCGCCTTGGACAAGCGAGCCGGGCTGTTGCCGTCGGCGCTGGATCGCCGTGAGCGCGTTACACACTTGGATGCCGTGAGGACCGTGCTGCTGAGGGTCACGTGCTGACGGCAGCCTTCAGAAACCCGTGTAGGTCCAGGGGCTTTGGGGCACCGCGAAAACAGAACAAGCCAAGACCAAAACCAAACCCAGACTTTGCCTTATTCGCTTGGAAATGTGTCGGTTTTTATCCTCGGCAGTCCTTGACCACGTTTACTGAACAAAGGTGGTTTGTTTCTGGAAGAGCCTCGGGTGGCTCGGTGGGAGTTGTCCCCTTACAGCTTCTTGTGCATTCTCAGTATAAAAGCACAGCTGGCACCCAGAGGGCTCTTCGTCCTGACCCCCTCCTAGGCCCCTCCAGGTCTCCCTCAGTACCCTCACTGGGACCCTGGTCCTGCCTGCAGCGGCGTTGCGCTCTGATTTTCAACACTGCCCTAGACACTCACGTCAGGGTGTTAGGGTCGCCCCAGCTCCAGCACTCCGGGATCCAGGGAGCTCCTCCTCAGCCCTCTCCATTCTCCCTCGTTACCTACTCGTTGGTTTTCCCGAACAGAGTCAATGCCTGTTTAGAAATCGACGGTCCTGGTTCCTGTTGGAGCTTCAGTGCAGTTCAGTTTTGTAACGTATCTCCCCTCAGGCTGGGATAAAAGCCTGCCTTTCTGTCGTCCTCCATGGGAATGGCACACTTGGGTCTCTAGGCCTCCCTGTCCCTCTGTGTCTCTCCCATTGTCAAGGGCTGCCGAGAAGGGCTCTCTGCTCTGGCCCCCCTCTAACCTGCAGAGGCTAGAGTTGGAGGCAGGAAACAGAATGCGGGAGGAGGGCCTGCTGTGTCTAGTGGTCGGGGGAGCCGGATCCCACGTGGCCAACCTCGCTGGTAGCCTGAAAACTACAGCAGGTGCCTACGTGTCCCAAAGTTTGACAGGCCGGGGAAATGGAGGGGAAGGGATTGCAGCCCGACCATGCCCCATTGGGAGGTTCTCTCTCTCTCTGTCTCTCTCTAGTGAGTGCACTTTCCCTCTGACAATCACAAATGATAGGGGAGAGAAAAGTTGTAGTTTGCTTTAGTAGTTTTCTCTTCCTCCTTACTTAATTTCTTCTCCCCATCACGTTTATCTCTGACAAAGAAGAAGAAAAACATGATCTTTGAACCTGCCTGTAAGAAGTCTCTCTCTGTTTAAAGGAATGGGAAAGATGTGCCCACTGTTCCCGTATTTACATTACGGTTAATCTTTGAAGGTATCTTTCTGGTCTGGTTAGAACTATGTGGGAAATGGGCTTTCTCCAATGTCATTTCAAGCTCACGGGCACTGTGGTAGCTGGGTAGCCGTGGCGGTGCAGGGAGCCCAACACCACGCCAAAGCCACTGGGAAAGTTCCGGTCAATGTCCCAAGGTCCCCCTCCATGCCAGGGTGTGTGCCTCGCTGGCGGAGTCTGAGGGCTGGTCAGTGTGAAGACTCTGTTTAGAGAACTCCCCTCACCACCACCCAGAAAGAATTGTAAAAAAGGGAAAAAAATGAGAAAGAAAAAAGGTCTTCAGAAAGTTTTCAGAAAATGCTTTTTATGAAAACTATGCGTGGACTAAAATCTTCCTGTATTAAAATAAACTCACATGTTTGCTCCAGCCCCATGGACTTTGTGAAGCCCCCTGTACCTGGAAGAGTCTGTTGCTTGAACTTTCAAGGCGTGGAGTCTCCGCCTCCAAGGCTCGGTTGCTGTGGAGTTCCGAGTTCGAGGCCTCCCCACCGCCAGCCCTCCCACAGTGTGGGGGCAGGTCCTGGTTTGGGCTGCACGCGCGGGCGTTCCTCTGTCGTGTGAGGGGTCCCACTGGCATCTGCTCCTCTGCCCCTTTCATGAACCCTTAACTATATCCTCTGACCCACTGCTGCGTTTTTCTGCAGACGGAGCCTGCCCGGCTCTGCTGCGGCCTCGTCACGTCTCTGCAAACTGCAGCTTAAGGGCACACACACCTTGGCGGGTTAGGGCTCTGGCACGTGTAACTACATTCCCTGCGTCAGGGTCAGGGTCGCCCACGGCTGCAGTCAGCCAGGGCTGTGGTCTCACCGGAGCCTCAACTGCTTTTTCTTTTTTATTGCCAAAGTGCATGTGTATCGGCGAGAGAGAGCGCCAGCAACCAAGCAATTTCCAGTGGGGCGTGGTCACTTGGCATCTTTCTCCATCCCATCAGGATGTGGGGCATGGCATGGGCCGCTGTGACTTCCAGGCCAC